TTCGATGCAGCATAAAATGCTGATTTCAAATCTGTCTTTCATATCTGCAGAGCGCATTTGTAGGCGAAGTTATGAGCAGCTTTACGGCGAAAAAACCGTATACAAAAATTACAAAATTAGGCACATTATCGCTCTTTCAGCTCACCTCTAGGTACGGGTGATATGAAGTGACCTAGTTGCATGTTTTGGTTTCACACTGAGCCAAGAATGGCTTTGTACGGCAAAGTTTGCGATTTATACGTACAATTTCTTAGCAAAATAGTGACCTTCAACGGCTTATAATTCCGTTTACAAAAGCGCTCTGCAGATAAGGAAGACAGATTTAAAGTCAGCGTTTTATGCTGCATCTAATGGTATGCAACTTGTATGGATTGACCACTTCGATTTCTGACCATTCCCTTGTTAGTCACGCATATACATCTATATCAAACATATGCGCAATTGCTGTATTTATTTTCGGTCGGGGTAGAAAAAAAGTTTCGTATATTGGTCAAATCATTGCTGAGCTATTCCTCCATTAAAAGTTGTATACTGCAAGCCTTTAGTACAGTTTTAGCCATTTACGAGAGGTATTTCACAGAAAATATTGATTCTGGTCACTTCTACCTCTAACCGAGAATAAATGTGCCCTTAACATCTTAATGGTCCTTCTCTCATCGTTGTTGCTAGCGTGCGAGGACTCGTCATAAAAACTCATTTTTATCACTAACAATATGTGAAACAAAGTGGTGTCAGTTTACAAGCTTGGAAACCACCCTTGATTTTAAGTCAGGCATTTTGAGCGCTCTAATCGACACATTTCTGGTTGCACATATTTAGTTATGCGCGAGTAAAACATGAACTTCATATGCAAAACTAACGCTTGAAGAATTTTTATCATCAATATTCGTACCGTCAATTACAATGATCAGTCCAAACACGACAAGGGATATAGCGACTCGAAGAGCAGTGCCATGCTGCACATCAAATATTAGCATGGTACTAGCAACCGTTCCGCGAAGCACCGAAAAGCGGCTGAGATGCTCTCATTAGAATACGAAGTATATGTGTTGGAAAATGTGCGAAAAAGGTCTGAAATCAAGGTACATTCATGTAAAACGTATCTATGACATCAGAGCTCAGTAGAGGTGGCGCATTCACAAGCCGGATGTTCTTTTCGCTAGTCCAAGGATGACTCGCTGAAACCTGAAAAATATTATCAGCACAGCTTTGGCTCTTGATAAGAGCGGATTCGAATTCTGACATTCATTAAACCAGTAATGAGTGATTCAATAAGTCACAAACACTCTCAATTCATTTTTGTTTAACACGATTTTTGTGTTAAAACACAATATGCAGAGAAACACAATTTATTAGTTTATTTACAACGGGAAACAACATTGAGTCGTCAAATTTGTTGTGTACTATACTTGGGTCCGAATCGAACAGAAATTCGATTATTCGAATAAAACATTTGATTACATTCGCATTCGAAATGCGATATTCGGAGTACTTCTATTTTCGAATAATATTCGAAACACGAATATTCGAAAAACGAGGATTCGAATAAAATTCAAGAGCTCGTATAATAAAAAAAACGGAATTGCGAATAGATTTTATTCGAATGTTTCATTTGATTGTTTATTCGAATTCGCATTCGAATAAACGCCGTAATCAAATTATTCGACTTTTTTGCAAAGCCAACTGGTGAGTATCAAGCTCACTTCGTCCGCGTTTTTTTGCAAAACTCGGTAACGCATCTTTTGCGACCGTTATGACCTTTGAACTGTATGGAAAGTCGCATTCCTAAACGCTTGTGACTTGTAAGAAAATAGGTGTGGATTTTTATTGATGCTCTTTCGATCAAGGAGATAGTTCGCATTGCTATTGGCACCAAATCAGCAAAAAAACAGCTATGAAATTCGGGCTCATGTTCCGAGTTCATATACTGGAAATGTGTTGACATGCCGTTTCTCTTACTCTGCATTGCTCATGTGGTTAGAAAGGCCCACACCAGTGAGCACTCTTGCTTGCAAAAGTCATACTGCACAACTGCTTCTATTCTTTACCTTAGGATTTTTGCGAATTGCTGCATTTTGAGTAAAGGACATCGCAGCTGCAGTGGAGGTTTGGACGGTCGCTCAATTTGCAGTTGTATCAACTTGCGATAAAGTTCTATTCAATAAATAGTACAGGATAGTTCTGTTATCGCAGTGCATCCAAGATCTTCACGGGGGCCTGTAGGCACTTTAACACCGGGAGCTATCAGCCTACCAACTATGTAAAGGCTAAAGGCGGACGAAGAAGGTCACATTGGAAATGCGAGCTTTGACTATGACATACATCACGCGATAGCCGTACGTTATTTGCCAGTTACGAGATGTCTTCAAATGTAACGCCAGTTTACCACAGATGTATAGCGTGTACAAGTTTCCGAATAGATAAATGCTCTGCATTCTGTACTTTTAGAATCCGCACGATAAGTTATGGATAATTTGACTATTGCCAGACCACCTGAAATGCCTACAGTATGCCCGGGACTATAGGGGCATTCGTGTTCGCTTCGCAGAATAAACCACATGCCTTCGTCCACGACTAGCTTATACAACACACGAAGTCTCCGATGAGCAGGCATTGTATGGTAGCATTTGTGCATATAAGTACATATGTGGCCACCGTTACTGCTTCAAAAGTCGCACACCTAGCGCTATGGATCCGAACAGCTCGTTAGGTGCTTACAACAAGTTACGACGTTTCTCATTTTTGATTTCAGCTCCAGCCAATTTCATTTGCTGTTGCTCTGCTAAACTGTCTTTGAGATGTAGTGCCTAACAAATAAGGTCTGCCGTCGAACAAACAAGGATCTACGGGGTCTGGAGTTGGCACGAGGGGAGGGGGGGGGAGGGGTAAGTGAGGGTTCTCATCATGCATAAAAATTTACTTTGTAGATTTTATCGATTTTTGGAAAATTTTGAGCTACGAAGCTGGGAGTTGGTACCGGGGATAAATGAGAGTGCTGGTTGAAATTGAAATCTGTTTTATCGATTTCACCGAATTTGGAAAATCTTGAGCTAGGAGTTGGTAGAATATGAGGCTGCTGATTATGAATAGATTGTTTAGCCGAATATGTCAGCAAGCTTAAAATATGGTTGCTCTAGTTATTTGATAAAGCATTCGATTATCTATTTGAATTTTGACTCACAGTGTTCGAATATAATGGGATAATCATTCAATCAATATTTTTGATTTTCCGATTTTATTCGGAATCCACTCATTCGAGAATATTTAAATTCGAATTTAATCAACATTCGTTTATTTGAGATTTTTTCTCTTTGAATTTGTTCGATATTGTTTATTCGAAGTTTTTCATTCAAATTTTTTCGATATTCGTTTGTTTGATGAAAAATTTCGAGTTTTCCAATGATAGTGTGTAACTTTCTACGACGATTAAAAGAAAAGTGTGAAAAATTCTGAAAAAGTTATGTGAATGAAAGGAGTTGTAAGTGTTTTCCTATATTAGGTTACTCCCGTGCAACCGGGAAGCACCCTGAATTGCTCGGTACCAAACAAAGTCATAATTTAAGCCCTTCCTCACATAATTTTCCAAAAACTACATATGTCTTCTTCAGTCCAGGCTCTACCGATGAATGTCCACATTGACCTAAGTTTCGTTATCTCAGCTACGGCCCTTTATGATAAAAAAAATTAACTTTTCTGCTTAACGCTGTTTTATCTCTGATTTTCTTGTTTTTTTCTTCACTTCCACACCCATATAATGACGAGTGGATGGAAGTGAAGAAGAATTGCAAACATTGCTGCAGATTATTAGCCGTACCTCTAAACACCACAAAAGGTAATCGTCTGCAATGTCAAAAGGATGATTGTTTCCAAAACCGAGTGCCACCTAGTGCTGGGCCCTGTTTGACATTCTTCTTCAAACGAATCATTTTAGTTTCCAAACAAACATAGTCGCCTATACCTTCAAAGGCAGCGTTTCACTAAAAGTGAGTAGCGCGAGTTTTGAAACCCGCTGAATAGGCGACAACTCCAAGTCCGCCTCGACCCGGGTCTTTTGAAGGCAATGACAAACGCTTGCCGTTAAACGCTTTGGCTCGGGAAAATTGCGAAATAGAGCTTCTCGCACCTACATGGCCTTTTGGTTGTGCTAAGTCAGGGACCGTGCTTGAAAAGTCAACAAGTGCTTTTCTGGCGTCTTCCAGCCTTAGAGATTGCTGAGCGGGCTGAAGCGGAGACTCCCGCCCACCAAGTTGCGATTGGTTGCCTGAGGCAATCCAAAATGAGTTATGTCACAGCTCTTGCAGGCAGTTACCGTTTTGACGGAAATTTCCGCTCCAGCCCTCTCAGCAATCTTTAAGGCCAGAAATCCTGGGAAAATATTCTTTTGACTTTTCGAGCATACAGTTGCAGCGGTAGAATTTGTTCAAAAGTGCGGGATTGCCGGAATTCGCGGGATTGGCGGGATTCTTCACGGAGTTTGCGGGATAAACGGGATTTAACTATAACTTCTTTTAAGATCACTTTATTTGCAATCTGCGTGAAGATTTGGCTTCAGCTTGATGAGACGAATCTTTTGATATACAGTATGTCCGTAATTCGTTGTGGCGGGGTAGACGTACGATGAGTGGCGGTACTCAGACATTCGCGGTTGTCACCCGCAGGTTAGAACGATGTGATCTCATTGACCAACGGCGCGTCACACGAAATCGGTGTCGGGGCAAAATCAGGTCACCTGTGTTTGCAGCGCGGCGACCTGCGGGACACACCAAAATGCCCCGACAGGGCATTCTCCGGTCATTATCGGAGTGACCTGCGGGAGACACCATAATGCCCCGATCCTTAAAGCAGCGGTTCATCCTGATGGGTACATATATAGTGATATATACATATATATATTAATATTAAGTATATAGTGGAACACACAAGTATAGAGTACATACTCTATACTGGTGTGTTTCACGTCTACCGCGCTGTCATCTTTCACTGTCCCTAACAAATCAAGCCATAGTATTTATTAAAAACTTCATGGTACAGAAAAATCTACATCAGCGCAAAATCAAATAAACTACATCGAGAGAACACTTGACAAAAAACAACTGGAATTGGACTGATGTGTGTCGTTCGCATCGGTTACTGCAATGTCGGCGTCCGTTTTTTCGATGATGTTCAAGTCAGTGCTCACGTCCTGTCCTGGGCCGGTTCTTCTGAAAAACATCAGTATCAGATGCGTAAACTTTTTGAGACGAAAGTTTTACCTTTGACGACTTTGTCGCATTCTTGTGCAAATTGTAGAAGTTCTTTGTCCGGTAGGCCAAAAGCGTCCAATACAAACCCTGAATAAATTATTCGAATTGATGTACAAAATGACGGAACAACCTACTTATTAGGAAATTCACAGTGCTTTCCGGGAGATCCTTGAATGGTCATTTTTTCCTTTTTTGCCAGTTTGCCTACATGCATACTTTTGAGTTCCTCTGCCGGTTCCCAAGTCCAAAAAATTATGTGTGAGGCAAGAATTTGTTTAGCAGTCATCCCTTGCATTGACGAAATAGTGCCTAAGAAAATCAAAAACTGAAAATGCAGAAAATGATTATGTTTATGTGCGCAAGCCGATCTCTTCCGTTTTAAGATTTCAGTCAAATTCAGCTCCTAAAAATACGATGCCTTTCGTTAATTCATTTCATATTCAAAAACCTCAATCGGGCTGGGTTTTGAAAAGCAGACTTTCTTTTTTCGGTTACTAGCTGGCAAACCCGGCTCCACCCGGCCCTGTCATTATCATATTTGTAATCAGCATACTCGATTACCCCCCTGTGCCAACTCCCAGCCCCGTACCTCAAACTTTGCAAAAAATCGATAAAATCGATATCGATCGATAACGAAAAGTAGCCTATGACACGCTCCCTGCCCCGAAGTATATGTGTGCCAAGTTTGGTCCAAATCGGTTCAGAAATAAAAAATTCTATTCCGCACATACGTACAGACATACAGACAGACAGACATACAAACAGACATACAGACATTCAGCTTTATATATAAGATACAGACAAGAACAACTGTGAGACTATGATTGAGCGAGTTAGAAAGCTGAATATCATTTTTCCGTGTTTGAAAGATGGGTTTTGACGACTGCGATTCCTTCTTTTTGGGGTGGATTGTTGCCTCATCATGCCAAAATTCAAACAGCTTCTGATACTCGTTAATTACGAAAAATTGCGATTTTCGGGTTACAGCGGCTGGTTAATTAAAATTGGAGCTAGATCACTTTTAAGTAAGGAACGAAGTCAGAAAGGACCACAATGGAACAAAAGAATGTGGAGAAGACGACTACCATCGAAACATGCATAAAGTAGAGCAAAGAATGGATGGCAGCCCATCAAACTTCATGTGAGCCATATCTAAACAACCAGGATTTCGCCTTCTAACTCGCCCATTCTTGATCCCACGAATTCTTTTTCTGGTCTATCTGCGAGAAAAAAGACCCCTCTTTCAAATACGCACTTGCCAAAAAGTGACCCAACGAGAGCCGTGGACAAAGTCCGCAAAAAACCATTGCATGCATTGTGGAAATTTCTCTGAAGAGAATAAATTCTCTTATCAAGGCCGGAAGCCAGAGCCATAACTGGTCATTTGACTAGCTATGGCTTTGCATTCAAAGATCTGATGGGGTACGGGTACCAAACGTGCATTTTACACCCAGATTTAGCTCTTTGTTTTCTGCATGAAAATAAATTTGAGTAAATTTTTTTACACAGCAGCAGTCCATATACGGCTGCAGCCGGTCTTACTTCTGTGAAACTGCGAAAACAAGCTATGGAGGAGCCCACTCTGCAGGAGAAATTTTCTTATAAAAACACATTTTTCGAACTATGACAATACTTCGGGCGCTAAACTGTTTTTTTTTTGCTGAAAAAGTATTGTGTCATAAGGATTTTCTCGTAAAATGACGTTTTCGCAAATTTTTGTTCTGCACGTGTCAGCTTGAAGCTACCCACAATAAGTAATGGATAGTATAAGGTTATATGTTTTGACAGATTTTAGCTAGCTAGCGACGCCTCAATGGTTTGTTGAACCCGACACAAGATTACGATATTTCAAGTTTGTTTAAGCTTGTAGTTGGCTTGAAACTTAGTCAAATCAGGCTTGTGGTTAACAATTTGAGTCTAAGCTCACAAAATTGCACTCCGCAAATTTGCTGAGTTGGAAGGAGTCCTGAAGTAACCTACTGGATTGAGAAGAAAATGCTTACCTTCGATCTACAACGCCAGCGCAGAGATTGCAAGTGAAGTTGCTATTTTGGACGCGCGATCTCATCTGAACTGACAAACCGTCAAATCGATGTCCTACGGAAACGGTGACCTCACTTTTATTGATGTGCTGGTAAAATTAAGAAAAAATAATGAGCGAAATTGTTTTCAAAAGGCACCATTAAGTATGATTAAGATAGAGTAGGTCTGGTATACAAGTTTATGTTATGAAAGAACACAAATGATCCCAAGGAGCGATTATAAGCGATGTATAAGAGAGAACGAAAGCAAAAACATTGAATAAAAGGCACCAATCAACAAAAAGCAATCACCAGGAGAAGACGACTATTTCGTAATATCACTATCATACACGCATGCGGCGTGCATTGGGGCAAAATCGCAGTAAAATCCGGTCAAGACTAAATTCATGTCTCCCGCCGGTGCACCGGGTTTTGGTGCGATCAGCCATTTTGTGGGCGGTCCACCTGCGGGTGACAACCGCGAATGTCTGAGTACGACGGTTTAGACCGCAAGTTCCACGGACTTAGCAGAAGAACTGGTAAAGATATAATGGTTTATCAAGAATATGGCAAACCACAAGAAGCTTATAGGCAAATATAGAGAACAGCGTAGCTAGATAATATACAGAAGAGCTAATACAGAACAGTGAATATGGGGGAACTGTCGAAGAACTGTTGAGAAACGAACTAAAGATCTCAGAACCGACACATGAGATATGGTGCTTCGCATATCTCATGGTTTTGGTTCAAAACAAATAGTGTGATAAAAAAAAATTGGCCGGACGCCTGGATGCTACACGCTCCCCCTTATCGTAAGTGGCGTCCCGACACTTAACAAGCTCTCTATCTGTAATTTCTTCTTCCTTGTTTTTCCTTGTGGTCGTTTTCCAAACAGTCCTTGTCCATGCGATCCTTGTCCATGCGATCCTTGTCTAAGCGATCTTCTTCCAGATTTCTGACACTGCAACAAGTGTCCACTCCTTTCTGTCTGTGTACGTTGTGTCTTTCCACTTGTACGACTAGTTCGGCGGGTATGTGCTCTGACATAGCCGATCATTTCAAGAAAATCCCAAAATGCGCGAGGGTATCCAGTAAATCTGTGCACTTTTCCATACCGCTTCGCATTGAAACTCTTTAGTTTTTTCACAACATTCTTGTTTGCTGATGCGTTGAAATCAGCTTCATCTTGCTGTTCCATGCCTAGCCGTTTGACATCGACTGATCTATTCCTTGGCTGTTGTTTCTTTTCCAGCTTGTGCATCTTCACAGCTTTCGTCGATTGCTTCATATCGGCCAATGGTTCGTCCAAGATCCGTCTCGACTCCTAAAATCGTGCTTCATCTTTCTGCGCTTCGTGCGCCTTGTTTCTTCATTTCTTTCTTGGCCCATCAAAGGTTTCCTTCCTACCTTTGGCTTCATCTTGTTTCCTCCAAGTAGTCTATCAGTTCGATATCTTACTACGTTCAAGGGATCTTTTACCGAGTTTCTGAGCAAATCGTTATTGGTATCACCTCAAATCACTTTGACACCAAAGTTGCATAGGACATTTGTCCCCAAGATCAGATCATTTTCTAATGACCTGGTAACATATACCGGAATCTTCTTGGACTTGCCAAACAATTTCGTAGGCATCTTGATTGCGTCCAAGATATCTATTCTGTTCCCAGAAGCGTCACGGACTCCAGCTCCTGTGGCCTTCGTGAACAGCTTTAATGATGCTATAGATACCTCAACGCCAGTGTCTAAGAGTGCGCTTAAATCCATATCCTTACTTTTGTCGGCCCAACTACTTTTTAACCGACAAATTCTTCAGCACTCTTCCTGGCAACTGTCATTGTGCATAACCAGCTATTAAGAGCACTGGAGACCGAAGATTCCTTGTGTTGCTTAATTCTTTCTACGTTGTCCTTTGTGGCATTCTGCAATGTGCACTGTTTCGCTTCATGCCCTGATTTGCAACATTTGAAGCAACTATTACTTTTGTCTTTGCCTTTCACGGCCAATCTTTCTCTTCTTTCACCGTGAGCGGCCGATTCCGAATCAGACCACTGTTTTGACGAAGCTTGATTGCCATAAAGCCTTTTGTTATGCATATCATTGTCCCGCCTGACTTCCTTTCTATGCAGTTTCTTCCAGCCTCAGCGCTGCTTCTTTTAGTTTGTCATAAAAAACGACATGTCGCGGGCTATTCTCAATCGCCTCGGCCAAAACATGACTTCCTTCCCAATTAGCTAACTGGGAATACAGAAGTTCCGCTTTCTGGAGTGCCACCCCTTCCATTTCTCCATTAGGGTAAGCTTGACCGCACGTCCTCTCCAGTACAAAGCAGAAATCACTTACTGTCTGATTTATTTTCATTCTCAGATTTCTCAGTGTAGCCAAGGCTTTTACACGAGAAGTGTTGCCTCCTCCAGCTAACCTTTCGCTCATCGCCTGGACCACGCCGTCGAAGCGACCTTCTTTTACACTATGCGGCAGTGTCTCATATAGATTCAAGGCTTCCCTTCTCAGAAAACTTTCGAAAAGTTGTATTAGAATTTCATCATCCCAATGCTTCCTTGGGTACTTCAACAGAAGTGACTTCAAACTTGTTGAAATTCTCATTTACCTCACCCATGAAAAGGTTGTAGATCTGGTATTGTAGACGCCAACATGAATTCTTTCATGGTACACTCGTAATTAGGGTTTTGTGACGCGTCTTGCAATCGGACTTTATGCACATCTGTATTCAACTGTTGTCGATTGATTCTGCTTAACTCTGACCTATGCCTATGCGAGGAAGCCTTCAGTGAAGTGTCCTGCGCATTCTGCACTGTCGGCCTTTGGCGCTCTGATAAAAGCGTGTTGCCTTTCTTATTTATGTTGGCAAATCTTTGATATTTGCGTCTGACTATGTGAACAGAGTTGCCTTCTGACGTGATGTGTCTGTTTCCCGATCTACATCAATGTCAGACAGGTCTGTGCTGGCTCCGCAGTTGCCACAACCTCTGCTCAAGTTCCTGAGCTTTAATCGGAGGCAATGAACCTTACTTGATACTTCCTTGACCTTTTCCTCCAAGTCTTTCTCACTGCAGTTTAGCGTTGTATACAAGGTTGCAATTAACATACAGTGAGTGAAGTATTCATTAAGGCCACGTTTCAGGTCTTCTGATGACGTCATCCCAGCCTTTGTAAGGATCTTCAATGTCTCAAAGTCAATCTGCATTCCTCCTAGGTCAATTCTTGTGCATACAGAACTTTCGAGGATTACTCTTAATTTCTGTTCTGCGATTTCGATTTGCTCTTCTAGCTTTGCCAAGAAAGTTTTTCTGCGTTTGTCACCTGTGCGAAAAAATGTGCTTAGTTCTTTTTCGCACTCTATATTCACGAGGTTCAAGCTATCATGTTCTTCTTTGTACATCTCTCTGCCATCGACGGGGTTCGCTCTTCTTCCCGTTCACTAATCACCTCGTCTTCTGTACTTGGCTGGGCTCTATGTTCCTCTTCTTTCTTTATCACACCAGTCACGTCTTTCTAAAACAAACTCTTTTTGATTCTAGGACTTGAACGAACGCTACAAGCGAGAGACGTGAAACTCGTATGCACACGTCAATGCACCGGGTAGCTCTACCACACTTCCGTAAAGTATGGTTTTGCGATGCTAAGCATTCGCGGTAGCCCTTGCAGCTCGTATAAGCCGCCTAAAGCGCCTGATCGACAATAGATCGATAGGTTACGCGCGGATACGTCCGCCGCTTCAAAAAAAATCTATCGGTTTACAACGTTAGTTATGCGGGATACAATCGCCGCTTCAAATTGACTTGGCGGTCGTTGACGCTCCAAATTTAATCGATTTTGGAGGTCTTGACGCTCCAAAATTCAGCTTCTTCTGGAAGGTCTCCGACGCTTCCACGGTTGCCGGTGCTAAGTCAGCGGTTCGGCCCCCAAGTGGCGGTAGGACGGTCTAAACCGCAGGTTCCACTGACTTAGCAGAAGAACTGGTGAAAATATAATGGTTTATCAACAATATGACAAACCACAAGAAGAAGCTTATAGGCAAATATAGAGAACAGCGTAGCTAGATAATATACAGAAGAGCTACAGAAAAGTGAATATGGAGGAACTGTTGAAGAACTTTTGAGGAACGAACTAAAAATCTCAGAACCGACACACGAGATATGGTGTTTGTACATCTCAGGGTTTTCGTTCAAGACTAATAGTGTGATAAAAAACCCAGGCGGGCGCCTGGATGCTACAGATAATACCTTGTAGTTTTCTATGTTAAGGCTTTTGAGAACATCTATCACAGTGTGAATCGCGAATAGGAGGTTCTGATACGAACTTTCCATTATCAAAAAATATCGCGAAAAATTGGGCAGTTTCTATTCACCCTTATCACTGATATAAGCACTTTATCATTTACCATTGATATATCACATTTTTGGATCATTTTTGGCATATGTAAGAAAAGTACTGCAGGGAACGCTGAGTGAACTTCTATCGCTCTTTCTCTCATTATGAGTGATCTACAGACTTTTCTATTTCTATTGCTCGGTGCAATTGGTAGATCCTTCGCTGCAGCAATCGATCGATTTCTCATCGGCACATGCCATTGCTGCCAATTCTTACCTAAATGACATTTTTGCTTCAACTCGCTTCACGCCGAAGCCTAGACTGAAATTCTGCACCTACATGGAAAATGAACGTGGGAATTGACCGCATGAATTTAAGCCATTCTTATCTTCGTTGTCATTGATCTAATCATTTTGTCATTTATCACTAATGATATCACAAAATTGGATCATTTTTGACATACTGTAAGAAATGTACTTTAGACGCTGTGTGAGTTTTTATTGCTCTATCTCTTGTAGTAGGTGATCTACAGGCTCTTTCGGTTCAATTGCGCATTCGGTGCAGTAGATAGTCCCTCACTGCAGAATCGATCAATTGCTCATCATGCGCATGACACTTCTACTTGGAGACGTTGCTCCTTCAGAAAACTCACCGCTCTATAAACCGTGAATGTACTGAGTCGCCTGTCAACAAGAGTTTCAACGATAAGCTGACACTTTTGTTTTCTGCG